CCCTTATCCGACCTTAGTTGTTTAATATTAAACCTAAATTGATTCAAAATAAGATTAAAAAAATATAAGGATAATAGAGATGACATCCGACTTATGTTTTATGAGAAACACCTATGTCATTCTAGTGAAGTCATCGACAATGGTGAGAAAATAGTTGTATTTACCATGAGTTGCATGAGAATACGGTCCCCAAATGTCCGCATGAATTAGTTGAAAAGGAACGAGTGGAGCTTGAAGTATGCGTAGGAAAAAGGAAGTCGTTTATGTTTGGCCATTAGACAAATAGTGCATGGTGTTTTATTAATTTTCTTTTCAATGAATACATTAGAACAAGTTTGCTTAATGACATTCAATTTGGCATAAGAGACATGACCTAACTCGAAATGCCAAAGATCAAAACAATCTTTGACATCAAGAACATGATTGGAAGTTACGGTAGAAACAAACTAACTCTTATGCTTAGTGGAAGATGAGATTGAATCTTATAGCAAGTAGAGACCGCTTGTGACTTTAGTAAGACCAATCACCTGTCCATGAAGGAATGGCCTCGAATAGAACAACAATCATGATTGAAGTTAACAAAGATTGTACCAGCGAGAGATAAGTTTGTTAAGCGAGATTAGGTTGATTTGGAAAGAAGGAATGAAGAGAACATTGTGTAAAGTTAGGTTGGGAAGCAAATTCACGGTGTCGAATGTGTTGCTAGAACCTTAGTGCTATCCGGCAAACATACAAAAATGTGTTCAATGGCATGATATGAATGAAACAAATTTAGGCTACAACAAATATGATATGATGCCCCTGTATCTATTATCCAAGATGTACCACTTACGAGTGTATGTTGATTGATTTGAAATTTGTGTACAAAATGTAAAAGAGAAGACCTTATACCTGCTATAGGTGATGAGTGAGATGAAATATCAGCTGGTGCAATCGGTTCATTGAGAATAGCCATTAAGCGCCGAACCCGGTTAGGAGTCAACGATACTTGTGGCAATGGATTAGTAACTTTAGCTACCGAAGAAAAATCAATCTTTGAAGTAGCATTGACAACGGCGATCCTCACCACGGAACCATATATCTCCGGAGAATTTCTTTACATTGAGTTGATTACTAATCGACTTCCTTTATACTTTGCAAATTTAGGATTAGATGGAAATCGAACGGTTGATAGCATCTGTCTCTAGTATGCCCTAACTTTCCACGAGTGTGTACAAACAAATTCATGTTTAGACTTATATCAAAAATTTCCTTTAGTCGTTGCCATTGTTGAGGACTCTACAAATGGCTAAAGCCGACTCTGTGCACGTCTTTATGACTCCTCTCTCACAACCAGATTATACACTTTGTCTAAAGTAGGAAATGGTTTCATCATCACCACATGTGACCTCAAACCACCAAAAGAATCATTTAAACCATTCAAAAACTCGAACACATAATCTTTTTGTTGTAAATCAAAGCATGTCTTAAAGCAACTTGAACTACATTTTCCACACTCACAACGAGCTAACGGCTTATAGCTCCTTAATTCTTCCTAAACGAGTTAAGTTCGGTGAATTACTCATCTACGCTGCGATTTCCTTGATTAATCACACACGATGCATGTTGTAGATTACGGATCTTGGAATCATCTACCCGAGAGAATCGTTTCTTCAAAACATCCCAAATCTCTGCAATCGAATCCATGTAGAAGATTGTTGCGGCAATCGGATGTGAAATTGACTTAAAGAGCCATGAAATGATTAGATTTTTACATCGCAACCACGATCCATAGCTCACATTATCTTTAGCTAGAGTGACAATGGATCCATCCACAAAAACTAGTCTTATTACGAATCGATAATGCAAGCATGAGGGAGCGACTCCACGAAGCATAATTGCTTGAAACTAACTCAAGTGAAACCACTACCATACTATGATTATCGGAGTGGTGAAGATAAAATGGAGACCGAGGATCCTCATAGAGACGGCAGGAAAAGAGCTCGCCATCACCGACTCTCAATTTGTGTTAAGGAAAAAAAGAAGAAGAATAGCTAATTGGTAACCAATAGCTCTAATACCATGTTTGAAGATAAAAAAACAAGTTCTCTCGTTTAACAAGAGGCAAAGAGAACAAGCAAAACAAAGGAAAAACGATGAGCTACCTTCCTCTCATTTCATTTAATAAAATCCTCCTTATATACTAGATAAAATCAACTAGAGAAGAGGATGAAGAAGATTCAGATTACGAAATGAAAAACAACACAAAATCGAAATAGAAACAAATTTGAACGAGACTTGTAACAAACCAAAATGTAGCCGTTAGAATATGAATTACCAAATAAGCTCTTTTATTTCTGATATTTTCTAAGCCAAATCCACTTCGCATGCATGTCTACATTTTTGCGATACCACCACAGATATAATTAGTGGCACATAGATCAAAACAATTTTTGTCATTATAAAAATCCTTTCGGCTGTAGATTTCAGATTGGGTTTCACTTCCAAGAAATTAATTTGGGAGAAAGCCGAGAGGATCGCTGTCCTTGGCCAAAAGGTCTCAGTAGAGATGGGATACATAACACATGATTTATTGATCTACCGTTACGTAATACCTCTCTCCTTACAAGCACAAAATTATAACTCGCAGCAGTTGATGAGCATTCAAGCCTGTATAAAAAAAAACTCACAGAAATGGAAAGAGGTTCGATCATTCTGGTAACATGTGAGGCTACTAGGTTATCAAAATCATCTATATTAAATAAGACACACAAAACTAAAATATAGCCAATATTATTCTACAGGATCTGTATTATCTTCCACGTGCATTCCTCTTTTTGACAAAAACAAAGGCAAAGTCATACTAGAAATGAAGTTCAATATTTCTTTTGTGAAATTTGAGTGCAAATCCAGGCTTCTTCTTCAATCAATAGCAAAGGAATTCATAATAGTATAAAACTTACTGAATCGCTAGCAATATCAATAGCAAATGCTTTTGAAGCTAGCCAAAACCATTGAAGCAAGCTAAAAGAGCAAAAACTCTAAATGCCTGTATGCTGAACCCCAAAATCGTGAGATGAAGGAGAAAGGAAAGAGAAGGAAAGCGCGGGTTTTGATTCAGTAATGGCGCTGGAGGCCTAGAAGGCAAAAACTCTTTCACTATCTGTCCTCTTTATGACATGAAATCCGGTACGGTACCATGCCTTTGGTTATGACTTACACAAGAACAAGCTCAAGAATTCTTACTTTTTTTTCCCCGCTAAAAATTAGAAGAGGTCAGTTACGCAGAACTTCCAGCAAGGCATATTGCATCCACCACGACAGTATTCTTCAAATATAATTCATTAGTAAATCTAAGTTTAATTATTTGTATCCCTCTACTAATATGATTAATGAGATTTTCTTAAACTATATTTTATTTACAATTAGGATTGTTCCTCTATAACATCGTCAACGATAATTTTTTTATTCATTAGATGTGTTACACGTGTTGACATACTCAATTTGACCTAATTTTTTAATTTTATAAAGAAAAAAATGATTTATTTGAACAAATGAAATTATATATTCAAAAAAATTATAATATTGAAAAAAAGTACTCCTATGAAATAACATTTAAAAAATAAGAAATAAAAAAATATTAATAGAGGGGCTTTTTATATTTATTAAATGTTTTCAAATATTGAATCACGTTTTTCAAGAATTTTTTTCTTTTAAAAATAATTTTAATACATTAAAAAATTTTGAAAAATCCAACAACAAAAAAATCCCTCTCCTCGTGATTTTTTTTATTTTTTTATTTTCTAATGTTATTTTATAAGGATAAATTTCTTTTTTAATGTTTCATTTTCTGTTTAATTTAAAATTTTTTTGCAAATGAAATTTTATTTTTTAAGTTATTTTTGCTTTAAAAATTAAAAATCATGATAAATTTGTGTGAATAAATTTGTTTACATAGTCACGTGTTGGACATCTAACAAATCAAAATTACTCCCAACTGCATTATGGATGAAAGATCATAATTACAGATAGAATACAATATAGTAAAAGAATTTTGTCAATCATATTGATAGTAGATGGACATAAGATATAATTAATCTTCCAAATACACAATAAATTTAAAAATGTATAAAAATACATGTCAACAAAACACCATTTCAGTTTCCATCATATCTAATTAAATTTCATAATATCAAAATATCTTTTCCATTTGATATAGATGGTAAGGAAATAACTTATTTAAAAAATTCAGAGTTTAACTCATGCTGGTAAGATAACAAGCAATTTCGATTAGTTCCACTTGTAAATACTCTACACTTCAACTTCAATATAAATATGACGAGATCTTTCAAACCATATATAATACATGAAAAAGAAAAACATAATATTTCAACACAAAATCCATCTATTTTTTTCAATGATGAAAATTTCACCGCATAACTTGACATTACCATTTATGTTATATTCTATATCCTCAAAATTGAATATTTTTCTTCCTCAACAATGAAAAGTGAAAATAAACATTTTAATTTCATCACATAACTTTACACGTCTTCTAATGTTCTGTAACATTCCCAAACCCAAATCCCTTTTTTTTTTTTCTTTTAAATATTGGCAAACCCATTTAAATGCTTGTGGCCAAGTAAATTATAAAGTTATTCTAGTTTTGAGATACAAATGAGTTTCAAAAATTAATTATTTAATCATATTTATTTATTTTATGTTATTTTGAATTTAGTTTTTTTTTCAAAAAGAAAAATAAATATATATTATAAAAATATTGATAAAAAAATAAGATATTTTATTAAAATAAAATAATATTAAATTAAACATATCAACATTAATCAAGAGATTAAATAATTAGTTTTTAAACAATAAAAATTAATTAATTAATTCGATTTTCAAAGCCTCCTTGGCTGATTTATATTTTACTCGCTTCTAGATTTGCAAATGCCCAAAATTGGCTGTATTACCAAAAAAAAAAAAGAGTAAAAAAATCCATTTTATCTCGACAAGAGTACATGGCCATGGCTCATGGGTTGTTGAAGCCCTTAATATCAGCTGCAAGTGCAAGATTCTCTTACTTCTCCAATTCTTCGCTTTCTACAGGTTCAGTGGTCAGGCCCTTCACAAAAAAGACAACAACCCAAGTCCCTGCTGCGAAAATGGCCACCAGCAGTGGAGCTGACAACCAGACAAACTCCACTAAAGTCATAGATTCACATTTGCACGTTTGGGCATCACCCGAAGAGGTAATTCCAAAAGACCAATATTACAGCACTTTCTTTCATTTCCCAGCTAAGATAAGATAATTGCATTGCCTTCTCTTGCGCAATGATTAATACCCACAAATTTTACTACTTTTAAAAGTGCTGGTCTGATATTTTTTTGGTGGGGTGGGTGTGAGCTTTGAAGGCTGCAGGTAAATATCCTTACTTTCCAGGTCAAGAACCCACTTTACGAGGAGATTTAGATTTCTTGTTGCAGGTATTTATGCCTTTTTCCTGTGTTTATGGTTGCTTGTAATGCCAGGCTAGAAATTAAGTCACTGTTTATGTCACTGTTATATCAGGTTGATTGTGCATCAATACACCTTCATGCGACTTGCTGAAGTATTATGACTTTTTTACCATCTGTGATCCCATTGTGTTGTAGACTAAATTCCCCAACTCAATAAGTAGTTGTTTGTAAGTACTTTGATTTTGATTTAAAAGCACAAATCAATTCTTCAAGTAATGCTAATAAGTGAGATTGCTGCTAAATGAAACCAATCACTTCGCTATCTGCATAACTTGTTTGTTAGAAGTTGATATCGGTAGTCTTGATTTTCAAGCCCTGATCAATTCTCCATTTAATATATATTAAGAAAGATTGCTTCCAACCTAAACAATTTTCTTAAAAAACTTTCATGTAATCACTGGATAACTTTTGTTGTTCCGTTTTGCTGCACCACAGTCCCTGGAAGAAGCAGGTGTAGATGGCGCACTTATTGTACAGCCCATTAATCATAAGTTTGAGCATTCTTTAGTGACAAGGTTTGAATTTGTATTGTATTTGGTATTTATAGCTAGAGAATTATCTGGATGTATTTATAGCATTTGTATGCATGAACTGGTATACAAGTAGAAAGCCTTATGAAAATGTACACAACATCCAATGTGCTTAATACAGATTCAGCAATTAGCATATAGACAACACAGTTATGAAGAACCTAGTAACTGGAGCTTTCAATTACTTGTTTTGAACTTTGAGTCTTTAGGTTTTTCTGAAATCCATCCATGCTCAAATGTGAGAGATAGAATGGCAGAGGTCAGTGGTCTGGGATTTAGCAACTTTTGACACATTATGCTGTTTCTATGATTTTGGTTCAAAAAATGACATTTTGATATTTATTATCCCCCAAATCTGGTGGTTTACATAGCATGGGAACGTGATCTTTAAAGATGAAGACAATTGATGATACTTTTTCTCTAAGCAAATTGCATTGGTTGTTTTCTATGTACTCTAAATGGGATCCTCCACACTAGAAGTTATTGTTTAGTGACAGAATTTTCATTGCCCAGTGTCCTGAAGAAGTATCCAAACAAGTTTGTTGGTTGCTGCCTTGCAAATCCTGCAGAAGATGGAAGTGGACTTAAGCATCTTGAAGAACTTGTTTTGAAGGTCTTTTGTTGTTATCAGACAACCGTAATAGTGTCTTTAACAAATCACTCTGACACTCTAATGGTGTTTATTCATGCTAGGATGGCTATCGTGCTGTTCGCTTTAACCCATATCTGTGGCCATCCGGACAGAAGGTAAAATCAATCAAGTATGACTTCTTGCTTGTGGTTACCTGAAATTCGCAAGTTTCTAGTACATTTGTTTCTCAAAAAGTTGAGGGCAGCAGGGGAAGATTTTTCTGTGGCTGTTTCTCTTGCATAGAACTGATACTTTGCGGACTTGTTATTGTTTGTCTTGTTCCAGTGTGAGTTATTCATTACAAGAAACACAGAAATAAATGAACTGTTTAACTTCTGTAGTTGGATGGCACTCTCTTTTTAAAATGTTGTACATTCGTGGGATATAAAGCTTTTCTTAGCTAACTTGGGTTAAGAAGGAAAATCATCAATAGAAATTGTCAATACACTGTTAGAGATAGGGCGTGAGCATTCATGAGAGTAATCAATCAAAAATTTATCTCCGGGCATTAGATTAAAATAGAGAAGTTCTGGGGTTGGGTTGATCCAAGTCTTTGAAACTTGTAATATGTAAACTGCATGATTAAGATGCAATGTAAATACCTTTCTGAAATTGTTATCAAACATCGAGTCTCTACATGTGCTGTGTGTGGAGATGATTACCAAGAAAGTTGTATATATCGAAGTTGGTAAATCATGCAGATGACAAATGATGTTGGAAAGGCATTGTTTTCTAAAGCAGGAGAACTTGGAGTACCAGTTGGTTTCATGTGCATGAAGGTATAACATCTCTTATCTATTTCCAGTTTTTCACTCACCAAAAGCTCAAAAGAAATAACAGAACCCTATTTTTTGTCATGTGAAATTTACATCCAAGTGCACTGCAATATTTGTCTGAGTGTTTGGGATAGCATTTACAAGGTAAATATTTTCAGGGTCTCGATCTTCATCTTTCAGAAATTCAGGAATTATGCACAGAATATCCTTCTACAGTTGTATTGCTTGATCATTTGGGTTTTTGCAAACCACCAGCGTAAGCTGTCTTTTAACTTCTCTTGTTTTGATGAACCTGTTCAATCTTTATCTGGGTAAAAGACCATATTAGCTGTTTTTGTGCATTTTGTCTTGCAGAAATGATGAAGAAAGTCTTTCCTTCTCTGAGCTTCTAAAGCTATCCAAATTCCCTCAGGTATGGTTTCATTGCTTGCTTGATTTGTCTCGTCACTGTTGCTGCCGTTTGGTGGATCCAAGGCTGGCCAAATTTTAATCAAATCCAGGACCGTGGCAGACAGCCTTTCTTTTCTTCCTTTCTTTTTTTATTCCAGTTTTTTTTAGAAAAGACAGTCGGAGATGGCTTGAAATTAAAAGAAGCAGATTTTACTTTTATTAGATTCACTTTTTAAATTTCTCAATCTCTATGTAAGGTGTCTTAGACTTTCTCATCTAATATGTATCTTTTTGCAGATATCTTTTTTGGCTCCTAGTTAGGTTACAGATTGACCTTCTGAGATGATCAAAACATCTAAAATGAATTTGAATTCAGTTTCAATTACTGGTTGCAAGTCAGGAGCCCCCTTCAGCCTCTATGCTTGCACTGTTAAATGCCTAAGCTTGAACTTTTTTATCCATTTAATAACTTGGCCTCCTTATTGCATCCAAATCAGCTGGTTGATGCCGCTGATTTTTCATTTGTTCAACCATGAAATGCTAAACCCTCTTACATGGCATTCAGATCATTCAGTTGATGTCACTGATTCTTTATTTATAAAATGAAATTTTATATGGGCAGGTGTATATTAAATTCAGTGCGCTGTTCAGGGTGTCAAGAATGTCATTCCCATATCAGGATTTGGCTCCCCTCCTCTCCCAAGTTGTCTCAAGCTTTGGCGCGAACCGTATCATGTGGGGCAGGTAATTGCTTTATCTATCATTTTTTCTATCACCCAAGAAATTCAAGAGAGAGAAAACAGGGTTTTTAGAGAGATACGCACAGAAACCTTAATGACTATCCTTTCAACATTTTTCTTTCCAGTGATTTCCCATATGTTGTTCCTGAATGCGGTTATAAAGGTGGAAAAGAAGCGGTATTGTCCGTTGCCAATCAAGTACCTTTATCATCATCCGAGTTGGAGTGGATCATGGGTAAGACAGTGATGCAACTCTTCCAAGGTCAATGGCTTCAATGAGCTATACAAATAGTGCAAATCACAACTGAAAATGGTTAATCGTACGGGGAATGTTTTTAGTCTGGAATAATCCTCCGGTGTACCCTTTTAAATGCCCATGTTTGATTCTCAAGTCTATATTTTTCAGAAACATTTGAAGATACGATAGATGACATGAGTTAAACATAACATCTAAACATACTAGTCGTAAGGTTATTCTATCTGTTCCCCATAGCCATATGATGATTTATGGAATTAATCACAATTATGTCAACCCCGCCCATATGAGTAGCTGATGATGGTGTCTTATTTTGTTTATTTTGTTTTTTTTTTTTTTTGACCTTTTGCAAAATTAAAAATTATGACGAAGTGAGGAGGCACATAAATTGGTACAATGATTTCAATTAACGTAGGTCCAAATTCATAAGCAGAAACGAAAGCAAGGAATTGGGAAGAGAATATGAAAGGTAATCAGGGAATTAGAACTAGCTGTAAGTGATATAGATTTTCCTTTGTCTGCCTCTCAACCTCCTTGAATATACAAAGCAGTTATACTTTTGACTTATCTGTCCAACTCCGAAGCTGAGGCAAGGACAGGAAAACATTAACAGATGGGCTTAGTTAGCCCAATAATGAGGCTCTACCTTCTTTTATCAATCTTCTGATTTTTAATTTTTGTTGGATCGCTTTTGCTAATATGAAAGGGAAATGGAAGTTCAATCACCGGACCCCAATGAAATTTTTTTATTTATATGAAAATCGGAGGTGTCAATCTGCCGTTTTTCAAAATAACCACAGTATTTAGTGGCTGTACTGTAAATTCAAATTCTGGTGAACAAGGCAATCTGGAACTAGCCGAATGCAGAAGCAATGATAAAGAGTGCTATGTTGGAGAGTCCACGTACAAATGGTACACTTGCAATTACAGGATTTTAACGTCAAATCTATCAAAACGAACAAAGCTAACAACGTTTCAGCAGAAAAAGGTAACAACTTGAAACTCAACTTTGAAAAATGCAATACCAAACTTACAAAGGAAGCTACATCGATATTCATCAGAAGATTCTCATCGATTAGTTTTACAGGAGCGAAATTTTAACTCATAAACAAAGGAAGCGAAACGCATTCGCAATCAGAATTTCTTCCCACATTTCTTAGAATCTTGTGTTGTTTCCAAACAATCCACTAACCCAGCAGCATTCCTCTTTTTCTTTCTCCTCAACTTCTCGCACACGTAAGCCCTCTCCAGTCGCTCAACCCTCTGCGTTAGCGAACTCAGCAACCTTGTTTGCACCTCATTCCTCTCAAACAACTCAGCCATCAATCCCATCATTCTCTCATTGTCCTCCACCATCCTCTCCAGCAACTCTTTGCTCCTCCTCTTCTCCTCCTTTCTCCCATCATTGGATTTCACTCCTGTATCCCCTTTCTTCTCGTCTGGTTGATGAATTTCCACACCATCACCATCATTTTTCCCCAGTGCATCCTGGCCATTACCACCGGAATCTTCTTCATCTCCTTCAATCAAACTCTGAGGATTCGCTGAAGAATCAGACTGGCTTTCTGTTCCGAAACTTTCTATACAATCAATCATCGACACCACCATGTCACCTTCTTTATCCACTTGTTCTTCCAATTCTCCATCTTCTCCTTCACAAGCCATGTCATCATTCTCTCCCTCTTGTAATTTAAGATTTTCATTAACCACTTCCAGCACCCTCTCAACGTCACAATCTCCCATCAACACAGGCGGAGCAGCATCACCAACCTCCTCTTTTTCCGAATCCTCATCTGCCCCAACTTCAGCCAATTCCATATTCTTCTCACCTTCACAAACCGTGTCAGCAATCCCCATCTCTCCTCGCAATTCGATAGTTTCATTCACCTCTTCCTCAGCCTTTCTCGAATCAACAGGCATAGAAACAGCCTCAGACACAACAACACGATTTTGCAATTCATCAACAGCATTCTCAAGACTGCTATTAGCCTCGCATCTCTTATCTTCCTCTCCTACTACTGCTGTTTCATCCACGCCTTGCTCACCAGCTGGCACAACAGAATCATTAATTTCTTCAGCTCCATTGACAGAACCAGCATCATCATCATTAGCAGCAGCAGTGATAGAATCGACAGTCTCCTGCAACGCAATGGCCTTTTTAATAACCGCCTTCCTGCAATCCCTAACACCAGAATCCACTCCTCGCACTGAGTCCAACTTAAACAACAAACTCATTAACATCTCATTGATCTTCATCTTCTCCTTCTGATCTCTTCTCATCAATTCCACACTCTCCTTCATCAAAACCCTCTCCTCAATCTCACTAACTTCTCTCTTAATTGCCAAAATTTTCTTCATGCTTTTCCTCACCAGGAATCCTCTAAACACCTTCTGGATCTTGATAGCAAATTCGGATCTGCTCCTCTCCGACCCGACGTGACGGACTGGAATTGACACCACTTTCTTTGGAACATTGAGCTCCGTCGTTCTGTGTTGAACTGGGAATTGATGAGAAGAGGAAGGGGAGTTGTAGTAGTAGGGAGAGCGAGAAGGGTGGTTACGGTGTATCCTATAAAACGGAGCATCCATCATTGAAATCGGAACTTGTTATCGATTTTTAGTTTTCTGGCTGGGTTTGTAAACCGAGAATGATTATTTGTTTGTTGATAATTTCTGATGAAGAGAAGCAGTTAGATGGTTTGAGGTTTTATAGGGAGGATTTGGCATTTGTTCTTGAAATTACTGGCGAGTTCCGGAAGGTTTTTTCGGGAGAAACAGAAACGGGCTTGCTTTTCTGGCTTCTAGATGACCCTCGAATGTTCCACCCCAGCTTGCCTCAATTGGAATCCAGTCTGACGTGTCGGGTGACGATTGCTTGGTGATTTCCTTTCTTGGTCCGTCAGGTAGGGATGGAGATGGATGCAGTTTCTTGTTTCTGCGAAATCGACTGGTCATTCATGTCACTTTCGATGTTAAAAAAAAAAAAAAAAAAAAGTCAAATTAATTGAGAAAAAGTAAAACGCTATTTAAGTTTGTTATGCTCTCAACAAAGGCTCAGTTGGTTTTCCCATAAATGTGGAAAATCAAATATGTATATGAGGTTTTTAATTAATAATTAATTCTCTTAATCTTAATCCTATGTATTAACCTCAATTTGAATATTAAAATCATTTAGTACATCATTTATATGTATCTTGTAATAATTATTTTGCTCCCAAAATATAACAAAATATTGTTTTCTCGTAATATTTTTTACAAGCAGTTATTTAAAATATATTTTATGTTGGTAACAGTTTCAAACCAATCTCATTTGTAAAAATAATCAATATTTTATATATAATAAGGTTTGAAGGAGTATTTCATAAGATGTTTAATGATTTAATGATATAGTTTACCTCCAAAACTATGAGTTGTGACAAAATAAGATGTATGTTATGAGTTTAAACTATTTGGACTTCAAACTATTAACTTCGAAATAAATTTTATAATTTTTAATTGTGTCTAAATGTCAAAATATTGACTATTAACTGAAAAATATTAAAATTATTTTTTTATAAAAAATAAAATTAATTTTATTTTTTTAATAATTTAATTTTTTTATTAGATAGATTAACAACACATCAATAATTATTCAAAACAAAGTCACTTCCATAAATAACAAAACTATCTAAACTTTCGTGAAATTAATTTTAATTGTAAAAAAACAACTCAAAATGCTTAAAATGACATCATTTTATGTATTTCGATTAATGATGAATACTTTGACTATTAAATATAATAAAAAAGGATAAAATTTATTCAAAAATTAATAATTTTATGATCTAAATAGTTTAAATTGATAATATAAATCTCACTCTGTTACCGGTAGATAAACTATATCATTAAACATATGTTTAATTCCTAGTACGGCTCTAGTTTGACTCCTAAAGAGAGGATAGCACAAGTATCGCTTTTGCCGGGAAAGGAAAATACAAAAGAGCAAGTCCCTTCGGGGATTCTTAACTAGAAACATTAGTAATCCGCAAAAATTCTCACATGCTCTTTCATACAATCTATAATATTTCTAGGTTTAATACTCATAACCGGGCATGGAAATTCGAAGTTGAAAATTGATTTGGGCTGAACATTGTTGGACTCGACGGCGTTGGCTACCACGTAAGGTCGGCATACCCATCACTTAAAATTAAGATTTCACCGAATTATAATGCCGGCTTGATTTTTTTTTTTTTTTTTTTTTTTTGAGAAATGAGACTTTCATAGATGGTTTGCCTCTATATACAATGATCAACAATTTATAATTAAACCACTTTCAACCTCATTAAATCAAAACTGTTTGATCCGTACAAAATTCAATCTTCATGTTAATTTAAAATCTCAAGCTGCCAAGTCCGAGGCTCACCTACTCTTTGTTAAATCTAAACTCCTTTGTCAAGATTACAAGCATTGCATCCAATTAGAAGAAAGAAGAAACATGACTCTTAGGAAAGTTTGAGTAATAGACAATGGCCATGCGAGAGGACATTCATTCCGCATGTCTATAAGAATACATCATCATTTTTAGGAAAAACTGCAAACATGGAGAACCTTCGGAGAAAATAATCGGAGGACATTCATTCCATTGGGTATGTTGATACCGACTCTCTTCAAAAGTTGCCTAGAAGCTTTCTTTCTTTGCGAAGATAACTTCTCCCTATTTTACAACAATTTGAAATCACAAGTATAGTGCAAATGTCATCGGTCATTGGGAGAGAGAGAGAAGATTAATAAACAAACTTTCTCAAGTGTGACATGAGTATTAGTAAGGCCAAAAGGCATAACTAAGAACTCATAATGACCGTTGTGGTTTTTAAAAGTTGTTTTAGGTATGTCGAGGGGTACTTCCTAATTTGGTGGTACCACGACCTTAGGTCAATCTTGAAATAAATAGTAGCCTCATGTAATTCTTCTAGCAATTCATCAATGAGAGGGATAGGAAACGAATATTTGATTGTGATGATATTTAAAGTCTATAGTCAACACACAACCTTCATAACCAATCATTCTTCTTGATCATGACTATTGGAGAAGCAAAAGAACTTACACTATGCTTCGGGTAATGCATGTGGTAAGCATTTATTCTACCATTTACTCTAGCACATCTTTTTATAGACTTGAATAATGATATGGCATTCGTTGACGAGTTGTATTCCTTTTCGTAAAGGAATTCCGTGATCATGGGATCCGGTTGGTGGTAGGGTTCGAGGCTTAGAAAATATTGTGCCAAATGTAGTTAAAAGAGCAATAATGGAGGGATGAACTATTTATTACGGACATGCAAGATCCGTAGGGTCTTTTTCTTCTCTATGTTGAGCAAACTCAAGTGGTATAGTACTATAAAGATATACATGTATTACTTGAGCGGATTGCTCTAATAACTTCGCATTTGAGAATTAGAAATGGTAGCATTAGGGTGACCAACTAGTTTTATTTTCCTTTCTTATATTTTAAAACTCATCCACATCTCCTTATAATTAGACATAATATTCCTAAGTTATGACAACTATTGTACTCTTAAAACCATGTCACTATTGTAGAGCTCCATCACCAATATATCTATACGAAATTGAACCATTTGCATAACCCATTGGAATCCTTTATAAATTGATGTGCACAACATTTTATTACCATTTACAACCCCCACGACTAGAGACTTGATAGGTGATAACATAAATCCTAACTTATTGTTTGTAGTTAGGTTCAAGAAGTTGTGAGTAGACTCAAAGTTTATGAGGATATGCGGTTTGCGGTGTTCTTATACCCCACCATTATGAGGGTTCTAAACCCACTCCGAGTCCTTCAAGGCATTGATAAAGATGTGTGGGTTGAGTTCCTCTTGGATGTCCTCAATAGATTGGCACTCCTCAATCTATTCCAACTCTTTTACCTTTTCATCTTCTATCCGAATAGAATAATGCTTTCTTTACCTATATCTATGCCCCGGTACATAGGTATCATCACACCAAAAACATTGATTTTTTGCCCTTTTTTCCTCGAATTCCTTATTAGTTAGGGTTTTTGGTTGGTAGGACTTAGTATTCTAGTTATATATGTTTGTTATTGGGTTTTGTGGGAGAAATATATTGGTGTTAGGTAGGCTATATGTGGGTTTGAGTGTTTGGTTCAATTTTTTGTATGATGGCCGGGGTTTGTTTTGGCAAATGGGTAGTGTTTTTTATTAGTGCCTTTTGAGGTAGGTGTTTTGTGGTGTCTTGTTTTCGAGCTAAGTCATAGGCTTTAGTTAGTGTTTAGGGTTCAAACATAGAGACTAAGCCTTGAACATCTTCCTTTAGTCTAGGCAAAAACATACTCAATACTTGTTGTTCATTGGTAACGACCTTATTCCACAAGATATCAAATTCATATATGTATGTTTCTAGGTCAAATGTTTATGTGAGGTTCTTAAGTTGATCTAATGAGTATAATCGTGCACCAAACCCATCGGTCATTGTAGATACATACTCATTCCAGGGTAACTTCCTTCCCAAGCTTTGAGTGTAAGCCCGATGCTAGTGTAATGCCTTGTCATCTAGGAAAAAGAGGCTTATTGAACCTTTTCAAACTCATCCATTGGTTCAATCTCAAAAAATTGATTACACTTAAATAGCTATTTATTGATATCTTTCCCTTTTAAAACTAAAAAAATCCCTCTTAGGCTTTTTACGTTTACGGTAGTAAGTGGTGCTTGGATATGGATTGTTGGGTGTGTAGTGTTAATTATGGTAGGTTCTTGGAGATGAATGTAGCATGTGTGTAATAGGTGTAGGTAACGAGAGGTTCCGTAGGTATGGGTATAGGTGTGGGTCGAACACTATGGTAGAGGGATGGTGGCAAACTAGCATAGTTGGATGAAGGTGCGATTGGGGTTACTTGCCGTGTGATGGATGAAGAGACCATGAGTGCATTGAGTAAGCCCTTCGATTAAGTAAATCCCTCTTCCTATCGCTTTTAGACCATTTTCCATTTACCATAATGGTCTTGTATACTTTTGGTTACCTCTTTCATTTTCTCATTAGCTTCTTAAGCCAATATCCTCGTTGATTATTCGAACTTGTGTAAGTCATCTATCTTAGCATTTTTCACTATGGAATAGTGCCAAGGATAGTCGGCTTTGATAATAGTGATACAAGGTTATTGGCGAGACAAGATTGGGGAAGAAAGAGCATAGAGGGAGAAAATAGAGAAAAAGAAGAAAAAGAAAAAGAAAAAGAAAAAGAAGATGAGTGAGAAGAGAAAGGATGAGAGAAGACAAGTTTGTTATGGAAATTCTGTTACTAATATTCAGTTTTGCTTGTTCTTTATATTGTAAAGAAAAACTAAAGACTCTTAGAAAGCAAACAAAACAATACCCTTTTGGTTAGAAACCAACTAAAACTCTATAATATCTAGGTCTATTGTAACTAGCCCAAAGACCCTAAAAAGGCCCAAGTTCAACTGACAAAACAATTGATCCATGTAGCTTAAGCCCTATCCAGTGGCTTAAGCCCTTCTTATGTGCCATTTGAAAATTGGATTTTGTTGCTTGCTCCGTTTCTTCTCCACCCAATTCAATAGAGTTTCTTCTGCTCCCTCACTTTCTCTACATGTATCATAAGGTCAGCATGCCCATCACTTAAAATTAAGATTTCACTGAATTATAATGCCAGCTTGGTTTTTTTTTTTTTTTTTTTGGATAAATGAAACTTTAACAGATGGTTTACCTCTATATACAATGATCAACAATAAATAATTAAACACTATCAACCTCATTAAATCAAAGCTGTTTGATCTGTACAAAATTCAATCTTCATGTTAATTTAAAATCTCAAACTGCCTAGTCCGAGACTCACCTACTCTTTGTTAAATCTAAACTCCTTTGTCAAGATTACAAGCATTGCATCCAATTAGAAGAAAGAAGAAACATGACTTGTAGTAAAGTTTTAGTAGTACGTGATGGCCACGCAGAGGACATTCATTCTGCATGTCCATAAGAATACAACATCCTTTTCAGGAAAAAATGCAAACATGGAGAACCTTCAGAGAAAATAATCAGAGGACATTCATTCTGTTGGGTATGTTGATACCAGCCCTCTTCAAAAGTTGCCTAGAAGCTTCCTTTGCTGCTAACATAACTTCTCCCTATTTTACAACAATTTTCAATCACAAGGATATAGCACAAATGTCGTCAGTCATTGGGGAGAGAGAGAAGATTAATAAACAAAATGATATTGAAGTACGAAGTACCTCATCCACATTCAATATCTTCTTGTCCCTCATAATCCATTTGCCATTGCACATTACAGAGACAACGTTCTCAGTCCTCATACTGTACACGAGGCTTGAAATGCTGCAGAATGATAAAACAAATATCAAGCCATTTGAACTAAGTACATTTATTGGCTGTTACGCACAAATCTAATACAACAAATGCCACGCTTCACTTCAGAACATTTCCAATGAAAAAGAATAAAATTAAACAGAAGATTGAGCTGCAATTGCTGATGGGTGATGACCAGACAGAATACATGACCATAGTTACTAGGAACATGGGACGTTCGGGTCGTGGTACAAGATTCGGGATCAGGGCACACACTTAGTAGGCATGTAACATGGCAGTTGTTTATAATTCAGATAAACCTTGAAAGCCTAAAAGAGAAGTTTGATAAATGCATTTACACGAATGTAATCAAAAGCAAACATTGAGTAGAAGTTTGAGAAACTTCTTTACCCTAAATGGTTGAGTTGACATAAATTTAAGGCACTGAGAACATGACATGAAGAGCAACAATGCAAAAATTTCAAAGCTAGTTTCATACCAGTCATGAATGGGGACCATGGACCATGAGTTGGGATGGATCACAGTAATGTCAGCCTACCAAATCACGAAAACAAAGATACATCAGATTCAATTGTTTGGAAAAGCATTAAGCAATCAAGTAGTTGTAGTTTAACATAAGATAAATCTCTAATAGCAAGGTAAACAAGAGAGAGGAGAGAAGGAAGAGGAAGTAAGTGGGGAGGGAGAAGAGCAACTGATCTAACTTAAGAGTCCATTTGGGAACACAGTCCTAATCAGAGAGTTAACAATCTGACCTTTTTCCCAATTTCAAGCGATCCTATTTCATTATCCCAGAGCACTGTTTTTGCACCATTTATGGTCCCCATTCTGAGAACTGTTTCAGCTGGGAGAGCTGTAGGATCAGTTGTTCCCTTCACATATACTTCCCGACCTTTGTTGATCAAAGAAGCTAGATACATCTCATCAACTGCACAGAGAAAAAATCTACATAAATTTGCAGCCATCATTGTTCAAAGGACCAAGGAGCATTTTGACCTTAGTGTAAATATTGATGAAAATTGCTACAAGAGCCTAGAAATACCATTTTATTCTCCTTAACCTATATTATAGCGCAAAGGAAAATTATCTGATCATGTCCCAATATGAACCAGGCCTAGACTTCTATAATGGTAGAGGATTCGAACCTTTTGTGTTAACAAATAATCCACTCCCACTATTTATACCACGTAGGCATGTGCTCGAGGAGGTATTTCCTATTTCTTTCTTTTTAAAGATCTGTCTAGGGATTCAATAAAAAGGGAAACCACAATCTAAACGGGGCCAAACTTGCACAAAAATCACCACAATAACAGGAAACTATTGAGCATCAACATGTGAGAATGGAAACCAGAAAATCAGAAATCAAACCAACCAATGCTCATTCTATTATTTGATGGTGCCCCATCTGTTCCCAAGGAAACACAAATGCCAGAATCAAGCATTTCCCTAATAGGAGCAAAACCAAGCATTCTCATAGCAGCAGCGGGACAGTGAGATACTTTGACACCAGCCCTTGAAAGAAAGCCAATCTGAAGGAGACATAATAACAGTCAGATCACTGCGAGCATGACTTAGAAATTAGTTAAGACGAAAGTGTGGATCACTGATGGTAAACGAGGACCAAGTAGCCATCAGTCAACCAAGAAGCAAATATAACAGCATATGTCAGATAGTCAAAAGTTAAAACAGCATTTTGAAGGAAAAAAAAAAGGTTACAAAAAGAATACAATCTGTAAGCGTTAAGTCACTTTCAATGTTTTCATTTGGTATACTATTAACTTCTAGCATTTTGCTAATATATTTATTACAGTACTACCTGCCTGTCCAATGACATCACACACATCAAAATGCAAAATTTCTTTGATGCCAATGGGAAAAGAATGAAAAAGAAAATCGTTAGGAGTTAGATTAGTCATGGCCTACATGGTAGCATGCCATATATGATGATCCATCTGGCATAATCTTCCTCGAAATCCAACTAGAAACTTTCTTCTTGTTATAATTAGAAATAACATGTCCAGTTCCTGAACATAAATTATTACATAGATTTAAAAATGTCACAGATAAGAATCAAAAATCAAAAACCCATGGAGAAAGAGTTAGCATAAAGAACAAGTTTATATCGAAGGAATATTTTAAACAATCTCAGCTATCCACTAATAAAAGAAAAATTCACTAAAACTTGTATCAACTACTTCATTAAAATTCACCTATTTGCAAATTTATCAGCCCTTATTTACCTATTTTTTTATGCAAGGTTGGTAAACTGATTATATTTCCATGGCGTCTAGCAGAGAACTAGCAGGAGCAATTCACCTCAGTGTCGTCAACCCAAACTGTATGAGCTGAAAGTAAGTTGTTTTGAAGGAAATTTATCCTCTCCAAGTGCGTAACAGTCCCATGTTCAACTTTCCGAGTACCCATCACGAATTGATTCTCATAAGGTATTTCTGCAACATGCTAACAATTGGAAAGATTAGATCAACCTATTTCAACATCTTCTTTCTTTGGCATGACTTTCAACTTCTGAACCAAGTGAAGTTTCTCAGAATGGAAAAGGAATTGACAGATTTATTTTTTCATAGCCTTTAATTTATTTTTATAATCATTATTTTCTTATTTTTTGAAAGGAAGGAAAAACACTCTTGTAAAAGCAACAAGTTGTTTAACTCCATTACAAACAGATCATTCTCCTTAACAGCTGACAGCTGAATTGAGTGTTGGATCCTCATTTGGATGAGATATATATACCGTATCACTACTATATAGGCTAAACTACATGCAAAAACTTTAGATTCATTTCCCTATGTATTAAAATTGAAGTATGGCTTAACATCAAAGAGTCTTGCCACACGAAAAATTGCTGTTTGTTTGGCAAGTTCCACAGTCCATCTATACTTCAACTCAAAACAAAAATGTTTCAACAGTTTTCTTATGACAAGACAGTTTAATGTACATCAATATCTACCAGATAATAAATCTGCATGTGATTTAAAATCTAGGTGTAATTCTGAGGGAGAAAGAAAGTTCATTACCATGTGGATTCCAGTTTTCAGTTCCTGAGCTGCGTTTCTAGTTTCAAGTAGTAGGCGATCAGTTGAATTCATAATTTGCCTAATTCCAAACCATACTCTAATGCATCCATCTGCGGTATCATTATGCTTCTCATAAAGTTCCATTTGAGACTGCCCTTGAAGTGAGAAATTTAGCTTCAGTCATATAATTGTTGTTAAAGTACCAACAGAGAAAAAAGATGAATTGTCTTTGTATGGAGACTCGAACAAATTGCAAAATGCAACAACAATGCATGCATGTGTGTGACTCAATATACAGAAATAGGCATAAGATTCACAAACAGAACACACCTCAATGGCATTTAAAGCACAATTTTGATCCTAGCCCACTAGCAATGACAAGTCCAGACGGACATACAGCATTACCTATTATACACTAGTTCATCATCAAATAAATCAACACAAATGCTTGTCCTTGAGTGCGAAATCACAAAAACAAAGACTTTTATCAAGATTATAAGGTAAGATTATACTTGACAACACATTTTAATCAGGCTCGTAACTTCCCCCTTTCAGTACCTCACTTGCTCCCTCCACCGGAAGAATAAAATTATAAGAATATTTGATGTTGCAAAGAGATGAAACCCAATTGTATATTCACCAATGATGTGCACTGCTCAATAAAATCAACTAGCTTAGTAGTTCAGACATTGTTTCCTTGATATAATAATACGTACATAAACATATAAAAGAAAAGCATGGTAATGAACTCCGCAATTTCAAGTAAACATTTAGGATAATCCTCAACCTGAATACAGTCATCCGTAGTTCGCATAGCCCAAGATGAAGGCAAACCCTCACCAGAATCCATAATCGACTCAGTTAAGCAGGCGCGCAAGCCCAATTTCTCAACAGCACGAGCCATTCCAGACACATACTGCCCCCCTGCTTCAGCAAAGCAAGTTACCTATATAAAATAATAATAACCCCAAACATCAAACTCAATTCCAATTAAAAAAAAAAGAGAGAGAGAAGGAAACAGAAAAATAAAAGGACTTACACCAGAGTGAACGAGTTCAATTCCACAAAGTAGAGTAGAAAGATAAGAATCCTCCTCAGTCATATTAGATTCATAAGGCCAAATGCGATGATGCAACCATGTCATCAGATCAACATCATCAGCTATCCCTCTCGCTAGCTGTTGCGATGTGTGCACGTGCGTGTTTATGAGTCCTAGTGTATTATCAATGGATTGGATTGGAGTACATCACCAAAAAAAAAAATTCAGTAACTAAAGAGGGAGGGATGGAGTACCGGGGAGTAAGATATGGCCGTGAAGATCGATGATTTGGCGGTGGTGAGCGAGAGAGGAAAATTGGGAGAGAATATCGGAGGATTGACCGATGGCTTTGATTTTATCTTGTTCGATAACGATCCCTCCGTTCTTGAAAACTCGACTCTCGGGATCCATGGTGACGATCATGACGTTGTGGATTATCTTCAATGAGCTGCTGCTGCTGCTCTTCGTCTCCATTTCTCTCGCTTTCTGCGCTAGTCCTGCACTTTGAGAGTTTGACTTCCGAGGGAATGGTAAAGACCAACAACTGCTTCAATCTGTACCGTTGTAAATTTGTAATTTAGATTGAATGCATAACTCGCACCGTTTTGCAGAAGTTCAAGGGTTGGTTTAAAAGTCAATTTCGTCCTTCAACTCGAGGTTTATTCCTAACTAGTATGTAGCAGCTTTTGATAATTTGGAAAATTGGTCAAATCGATTGCAGACCCACACAAATGCCACTTGATTGTTGTGTTCAGGATCATGCTAACGGACGGCAATTTGGGATTTTAGGCACTCAAAGGCTAAAAGCTCATTATTTGACTTATCAAGGGGAGTAGGAGAAAACAAAACGTAATTCGTTGTACTACCATACGGTGGCCTAGGCCAATACTTTGGTATTATTTAACCTCTCAAACTCAAAACAATTTTTTTTTTTCAATAGTAAGATTAGCTTCATGTCACTTACATCTCTAATACATAATTTCAAATATTTTAAAAATAAATTTTTAAAAATATTAATTATAACGATCAAATTTTGGACCTAATCGATAAATTAATACTTACTTACTAACGAGTTATCATTTTGTGATTTCAAAATATTAATTTGATTGTAATACTTTAATTATTAGACATGATAATATTAAGTGAAGACCGGTAAGTTGACATCAATTTATCCAATTACTATAATCAAATATTTTATCAAATTTTATTAACATTGGCCTTAACTTCACATTTCTTGAACTACACCCACATATAGTTCATCAAAATTGGGCATTGCGGTTGCAACTGACCGAAATGTCCAAAATTAAAAACAACAGCTAAGCTAACTAAAAAGAGATTTTTTTAATATTAAGATATTTTTAAATCTTATTTCTTATAATAGAATAATTTTAAACTTATTTATCATGATAAGACACATTATACCAAGTAAGATGCTATTTCATTTAAAACATTGACATGTGAGTTTCAATTTTTTTTATTAAAAAATTATGTTATCATCGTAAATTACTCTCTCATTTTACTATCTTCTCTCTTTATCAACTCATGCTTTTGTGCTTTTTATGCCTTCAATAGCTATTATAAGAAGAATCAACCTTCCACAATCTGTGTTTTTGGCTGAACAACACAACTTATCAACACTGATCCAAGTAAGATAGGATCTTGACAAAGAATAGCTGTGGAGTTTGATTAATCATCGATATCCAATATCAAATTTTCTAATCTGTCCTACTGCAGAAGTTTTGAAATTTGATTTATTTTTAATTATAACAGTCCAGAACCTAAATTCACTGTTTGGCAGGTTTCTTTTCTTGAAATATATTTTTCTTTTCGGCAAACCTAGTTTCTCCTTCCAAAATTATTTTCATTGCTATGATATAAGCCACAAAATCTCTAAATTTTTATTTTTATTAATTTTTCTACTTTTAGTTTATTGTTCACTCAGAATCCTAAATCTATTGTTGTTTCCAAATAATATAGTTTGAATTAATATGATATGGTTACTATTAGATTTCTTAACTTCTCTGTTTGCATCTATTGCAGTTACTAAAAACTATATCTTTCCATCCTAAAAATTCAATTTATCTTCATTTGTCTTAAATCATAAGATAGATCTATTGATTTTAGAAGTCTGAAACTATTTTGATCAAACATTTAAATCATTGTGCCATATTTTTTTATGTTCTCCTTACTCGTTTAGCGATATGAATTTTAGAACCCTTTAATTAACAAATTAAATGTGCTTCTTACTCTGTAACAAATAGCAACTTAAGTACGAATAAAAGACCTACTTTACACTAATACTCAATTCTTAATGAGTAAAGACGTGTAACAAGTTGCACCGTATTTGTAGCAATCCCAAATCTACTGATTACCCATATGGATCTTTTTGGCTATCATATTCTACACAGTTGCATTCTCTTTGTTTTTAACTTAAATTGCAGTTTGGCACAAAATGAAAGGGAATGCTTAGACATCACATAAGTACTTTTCTTGACCGGCAACAACTGTGTTTAGAAGAATACCATGAGATAAGCAATTAGCTAAGACTGAAAAAAAATAGACATAAACAAATGTAACGTTTAGAGACAGTTATAGAAGTTAGAGTGGAATGTTAGTATAAAACAATCAATAATATTAATATAAAAATATATTTTTGAATTATTAGTTGGCTATTCTAAAAAATTGTTTTAATTGTTTTATATAAAAAAATTAATTTAAAAAATAATAGTAAATGGTTGGTGTTATGTGTATTGATGCATGGTTAATTTTTAATAAAACGAATGATCTCAATACTTTTTTTAATACACCATGATCATATTTAGTGGATCAAAATGTGTTGTATAAATAAAAAATATATATTTTAAAAAAACTTAAGTTGTAAGGAATTTATTAAAATTAACATAGTGCAATAAAAAAAAACTAAAAAAAATTATTCGGATAAAGAATAAGCAAATAAAACATGGAAATTATATTATTTCATTGATTATTTATTTGTATAAAAACATATTTGAAAATCCATACATAGATAAAAATAAATCATATTTATTAATAAATAAAATTACATAAAAAAGAAGAATAAAAATTTATTTTGATAAGAATTTTCATTAAAAAAAGCAAATTGAAGAGATTAATTTTAAGCAATAAAAATAATATAATCCTATATATATATATATATATATATATATATATATATATATATATATATATATATATATATGTATGTATATATATGTGTGTGCGCGTGCGTGCGCGCGCGCGCGTGTGTGTAAGGGATCATAACGGAATAAAGTGAATAGAATTAGTAACGGATGCATTCTCATCGCTAATTTCAATTTCGAATGATCTGCTCAAATTTTTTTTCAAAAAATTTCAGAAATTTAACACGATTGGCGATAGACATAAGTTTCTATCGCTAATTCATCATCAAATAGTGACATAACTAAGTGTCTATCGCTAATTTGAATTTCAATCGACCACCCGAATTGTTCAATATTTTTCAAAAATCTATGCAATTACCAACGGAATAAAATCCATCGCTGATTAGAAACAAGTAATGATGGATAATGCGTATCGCTTGGCTAATGATACTTTTAGTGACAAATTTGAATTCCCTCATTAAATTCTCTCGCTAATCCGATGCAATTCCATTGATGAAGTTGGCATGGATTTTTGTCGTGCTCTTTAGCGACATAATGTTTTTTGTCATTAAATTGCCCTCACAAAACCATCACAATTTGATGCATTTTTAATTTCATCGCTAATTGATTGCAATTTAGTACCTATATAGTGATGGAATTAAATCGTCGCTAATTGTCTATTTTCTTGTAATGAATACACACGCACACACACAAAATAATCGATAATATTAGTATAAAAATATATTTTTGAATTATGAGTTGGTTCTTTCAAAAGATTGTTTCAATTATTTTATATATAATAAAATTAATTTTAGAATATTAAAAAAATAATAGTAAATGATTGGTGTTATGCATATAGATGCCTAGTTAATTTTTAAATAAAACTAATGATCTCAATATTTTTTTAATACACCTTGATCATACTTAGTGGATCAGAATGTATTGTATAATTCAAAAAATATTTTTAAAAAACTTAAGTTTCAAGGAACATATTAAAATTAATAGATTGTAATAAAAAAATAAAAAAATTATTTTGATAAATTCGATTAAATCAGAATAAGCAAATAAAACATAGAAATTCTATTATTTATTTAATTATTTATTTGTATAAAAAAACATATTCGAAAATCCATACATAGATGAAAATAAATCATAGTTATTAATAAAAAAGAAGAACGAAAATTTATTTTGATGAGAATATATATATATATATATAAAAGAGGGACCATAATGGAATAAAGTGAAAACACGAGGGGTAATTGTCAATATTTTTTAGAAATTTGTGCAATTATCGACGAAATAAAATCCGTTGTTGATTAGTGATGGTTAGCGACAAATAATCTCTCGTCACTTGGCTAATGATGCTTTTAGCGATGAAATTTGTATTCTATCGCTAAATTCTCTCGTAATTCCATTATTGAAGTTAGCAGGGATTTTTGCCTCACTCTTTAGTGATGGAACGTTTTTCGTTGATAAATTGCCATCGCAAAACTGTTGCAATTTGATACATTTTCAATTTCATCGCTAATCCGTTGCTATTCGGTAGCTAAATAGCAAAGGAATTAAATCCGTCGCTAATTGCCTATTTTCTTATAGTGGATATATATAATCAATAATATTATTATAAAAATATATTTTTGAATTATTAGTTGGTTGTTTTAAAACATTTTTCAATTATTATTATTATTATTATTATTATTATATATAAATTAATTTTATAACGATAAAAAAATAATAGTAAATGATTAGTATTATGTGTATAGATGCATAGTTAATTTTTAATAAAACTAATAATCTCAATTTTTTTTTAATACACCGTGATCATGCTTAGTGGATCAGAATGTGCTTTATAAATCAAAAAATATTTTAAAAAAACGTAAGTCGTAAGGAACATATCGAAATTAATAGATCGCAATAAAAAAATAAAAAAATATTCTGATAAATTTGATTAAATCAAGAATAAGCAAATAAAACATGAAGATTCTATTATTTAATTGACTATTTATTTGTATTAAAAAACATATTCAAAAATCCATGCATAGATAAAAATAAATCATATTTATTAATAAATAAAATTACATAAAACAGAAGAATGAAAATTTATTTTGATGAGAATTTTGATAAAAAATGTCAAATTGAAGAGATCAATTTTAAATAATAAAAATAATATATTCCGATATATATAAGGGACCATAATGGAATAAAGTGAAAACTTGAGGGGTGGAAAGATACTTTAAAAACATGAGGGACCAAAAATTTATTTGAGACCAAAATAAAATACAATGTAATATCTGCATAAACAATTAAAAAATAACGAAAATACCACCATCTAATAGTACAAAAAATATCACACTATGAATAGTAATTTTTAAGAGCATAAATAGTAAATACTATTCATTTTCTTCGTCTCTTTTTATTGTTTTTGGTAATAAATAACTCACAGCAAGATTAAAAGAAGTGATTGAGATATATGGATTGAAAAAATTATAGGAAGGCGAAAAAAGGTAAATATTATGTGATAACATTCTTCTAAAAATGTATTTTTAGAATTTATTAGAAAAATCAAACCAAAAAAGCTAAAATTGTCAATTTTTGAATATCTTAATCAAAGAGGGAGGGACTAAAACCGGCCGGCTATATTTGTGAAAAGTTAATGTAAATTTAATTTTGGTGGAGCAATTAATTTATTAAGTTATGTCAACCAAGTATATAAGCTAAATAAAACTAGAAAGCTATTATATATTCATGCAGAATTACTAAGAGGAAAAATAATACCTCTATATATGTACAATCTTTGAGAAACCTCAAACTAACTATAGGTGTTTCAAACTTTCTCTAGGCACATTGAGAGGATCTTCATAGATTGGAAACAGAGTCATATCCATAACATAGAGCTATACTGAGTTATTTTAGTTTAAGGAAAAAGGACTATTTAGTTAAAATTATTTAGTATAAGGACCGCTTCTTTGTCTAAACCACGGACACATTTTGATTTTTTTGGCCGAAGTGTTCTTTTCTAAAATCCAAAACAAAAAAAAAAAAATTAAAATCACATGATCTGTATATTTTATTTATGAAATCTTTATTTTTATTTTTTAGTGCATTTAACACAAGGATATTTAAGTTTTAAAAAATCATTGTTTGAAAATTGATTGAAAAAATAAATTAAACACTTTAAAAGACAAATGATATTTAATTAAAAATTTAAGAATAGATGAGAGGGTAAAAATATTATATAACTATAAATTAAGCTATTTATTTTAAACATAATACGAAGATATATATTTTGGTACTTTAACTCAATTATTATACAACCTGAATAACAGCAAGCCAGCAACACCTGCATGTGTATGGATCTATGGATAAGAGCCATCTTCGTGCTCCTTCGCGATAAATTTTACGGGTAATCTTTGGAGGATTGATGAAGTTTGTATGTCTAGCAAGCAGACTATTCAGACGTAGAATTTGAAGATACATCATGTTAAAAAAAATCAATATTGTTAATGTTGCATATATTCAACACCATTCGATTTAAACTAAATATCAAAACGAATTGAGTTAAAAATATCAATTTTGATTTGGCTTAAAAAATAAAAATTAAAAAAAAAAAAGCCAAATCGAATTTTTTTTTTTTTTTTTGGTTTTTGAATTTTTTGTTCAGTTTAAACCGAATTTTTTTTAAAAAATTTTTTCCACTTTTTTTTAGTTCTAAAATAATGCAAATAAATTAACAAATCAATATTTTATATTATTATAAATATACGATGGATTGATGGTATTTTTTTTATCTATTTATATTATTTTAAAAAATAAAAAAATATCGATTTAAATTGAAAAGTTAAATAATAATTTCATTCTTATTCGTTTTTGTTTTTATAAGTTCGGTTAACTAAAAATCAAATCAAAATTATTAAATTTCAATGATAATTGTATATGGATCTATGTACTTAGTTTGGTACCGATATTTCTCAAGCATTCAGAAGGTCCAGGGATGGAGATCGCAAAGTGATTAGATGTATGATCGAGCCAAAACATTGACGTGTAAATGAAATTGTTTCTGAATTATCACTCCATAATATTAATTATTAAAAGGTAAATTTTAATTTTCCTTCCTAGAGTATATGTATTGTCTCAATTTAACTTAAAATGTTTAATTTATTTCGGTTCGATTTCAAATCTTTTATTTTTGTTCCAATCAGTCCCATATTTTTCATTTTTATTTCAATCAGTCATCATATCTTTCACTTTTGTTCTAATTTTGCCCATTTCCATCAGGTGAATGAATTTTAATTTTGTCCCTAAAGCTTGTAAAATATCATCCAAAAAGTAAAAATATAAAATTAACAAAAATAAAAATAACAATTTTTTTTTACCAAAATAAATATTATAAAACTTGCAGAGAGTTAATTTCTCAGGAAATCTTGGATTCATACTGACTTCAATTCTCACTTAGCAACATCTCACTTAGCAACATCATTTTTTCATTTATCATTGTTATAGATAAATAAAAATTAAGATTCAAATTAATTTGGCCTTTTTAAAATTTTTTAATCAAAACATTCACTATTTTGATTCTTTTTAGCTACAGTGTCTTTTTTTTTTTTAATCTTGTCATCAAATATCACATTTGATATGTGCAAATAATCATGATCAAGCTAGTGCCAAAATTATCATATAGTCGACCTATCATTCCATTCATATTCATGCGAGATTTTAATTTTTGTTTTTCAGATTTCTTTTTCAAGATTTTAATTAAAAATTATAAAAAAATGTAGATATAATATGCTAGCGGAAGTGTGCATGAGAGGCAATGACAGTGGCTAATGATACTTTTTATTAAAAAATATTTTTTATCATATTTATTTTTAACTTAATTTTATTCTTATATTGTCAAAGGACTACTAAATAATATTGATAAAAAAATATTATTTTAGTCAAAATTGTTTTATTAAAAAAATATTCATTTAATGATTTTTTTTCTTTCTTATCTTTTGAGTTATATTGAAATATTATACAAACTTTAGAGATGAAATTGAAAAAAAAATATCTAATTTAATGATAAGTAATTAAAATTTTGTATTTCATTATAAATTTTGTATTTTTTATATATTCATTCTTAAATAAAAACCTGTAATAATATAAATAAAAAATTTAATATAAATTTTTTTAAAAATGTCTTATTATTTTTTCATAAAATTATGTAGAAAAAATAAAGCAAAAACCAATATAAGAACTTCAATAAAAATTTAACTAAATAATCTTCTTTAACTTTTTGAAAATATTTATATTTGATCACTATAAGAAAGGTGCCGCTTAGCAACGGAAAAATCCATTGCTAATAAGAGAAAAGTCGTCGCTAAAAGCACTTAGCGATAGACTTGCGATCGAACAAAATTTGTTGCTAAAACACTTATCACTAACCCTAGCAACGATAGAAAAGTATCCATTGCTAATATAGTGATGATTTTTCCATTGCTAAAGTGTTATATTTCAACGCTAATTGGTCATCGAAAATGCCGTCTTATGCATCGCTATTTCGTTGCAAATTCCGTCGCTAATTAACAATCGATATTTCATCGTTATTATCCGAAGCTAATTTAGTTGTCACTATTCCATTGCCATTTTCGTTACTAATTTCCAACACTAATCCATCGCTAAGTTTATTAATTTGTTTAAAAAAACTTAAGTTGTGATGAATATATTGAAGTTAATAAAGTGCATTAAAAAAAATAAAAAAAAATCCTAATAAATTTGATTAAATCAAGAATAAGCAAATAAAACATGGAAATTCTATTATTTAATTGATTATTTATTTGTATAAAAAACATATTCAAAATTCATACATAGATAAAAATAAATCATATTTATTAATAAATAAAATTACATAAAAAATAAGAATGAAAATTTATTTTGATGAGAATTTTCATAACAAATGGTAAATTGAACAGATCAATATATATACGGACCCCGATGGAATAAAGCGAAAAAATGAGGGGTGGAAATATATTTTAAAAACACGGGGGACCAAAAATATATTTGATAACAAAAATAAAATACTATGTAAAATTTGCTTAAACAACTAAAAAATAATGAAAATACCACCATCTAAAATTACAAAAAATATCACAATGTGAATAATGATTTGTGAGAGAATAAATAGTGAATATTATTCATTTTCTTCGTCTTTTTTAGTTGTTTTTGGTAATAAATAACTCACGGCAAGATTAAAAGAAGTGATTGGGATATATTGATTGAAAAAATTATAGGAAGGCAAAAAAAGGTAAATATTATGTGATAACATTCTTCTAAAAATGTATTTTTAGAATTTATTAGAAGAACCAAAACAAAAAAGCTACAATTGTCAATTTTTGACTATCTTAAACAAAGAGGGACCAAAACCGGCCGGCCATATTTGTGAAAAAGTTAATGTAAATTTAATTTGGTGGAGCAATTGATTTATTAAGTTATGTCAACCAAGTATATTAAGTAAATAAAACTAGAAAGCTATTATATTTTCATGCAGAACTACTAAGAGGAAATATATATATGTACAATCTTTGAGAAACTAACTATAGATGTTTCAAACTTTGTCTAGGCACATGGAGAGAATCTTCATAGATTGGAAGTAGAGGAATATCTATAACATAGAACTATACTGAGTTATTTTAGTTTAAGGAACAAGGACTATTTAGTTAAAAATTATTTAATATAAGGATCGCTTTTATTTCTAAACCAGGGACGAATTTTGATCAATATATATATATATATATATATATTTTTTTTTTTATCAAAGGTTTTATTAAAAAAAATATTCATTTAATGATTTTTTTCTTTCTTATCTTTTGAGTTATATTGAAATATTTTATAAATTTTAGAGATGAAATTAAAATTTACATGGAGTGAAACAAACATGAAAAATACGGAATTTAATTGAAACAAATCAAAGATTTCAAGTGAAATTACAAAACACATAAACTTCAGAGGGCAAATTAAAATTTACCCATTAGCAAACGATGTACAAAAATTAGAGAAAGTCTTGTTCACTATGATCTTTCCAGGAACAAGGAATGAAAATGAAAAAGTTAATGATTCTCCATCAATTCAATTGATTCATTGAATTGTAATCCATCATTAACGAAAGTAGCAACTTTTGATGCACAATTTTCTAAAGGGAATAGAAAATCTAACGCACCATGAGAAGGACTTCCATTGCACTAAAAAGCAGTGCTTCTTTCTAGTCAGCGACAATTGCTAATGGTGTGTTAATAAATAATAGAAAGGGACAATTACTAATGGTGTCGCATCGATTGATTACAATTATATTAACATGTCATGAAGGGATTTGTTTGAACTTTTTCTTTCAAAATTTTGTTTGAAGTTTAAACGATCCATGACAGGAAATGGTACATACGTACGTACCTAGGTGGTGGCTTTAGTGGCTCAAAAGATGAGAAGGTGGATTAGTTGAGACCTCTGTAGACTGATTAAAGGTGGGTTTTTACCAACTGACTTAATTTGTTATCGATGGCTCTGGCCAAGTGGATTTTAGAATCTGTATTCAGTGGTTTTTTATGATATCGTGGGCACCGTCATTAATTAAATTGTCTCCGTTTCGTGTAGCCTTATTATTCCTTCAATTTTAAGAAACTGTCCTAAGTTTTTGAATTGATATGATATCAAGTTCCACTTTCCATAAATTGAAAAAGTAATCACAAAAGTTGTTATAAAAATATCATTAGTCACATAAAAATCAAAATAAGGAAAAAAAAAAAAAAAAACTTAATCTGTTTACACGTAACTAAATATTTAATTTAATTTTCATTTTCATTTTTTTTTCCTCTTCCTCTTGTCTCTTCCTCTCTCTCTACTTTGATTGCCACCCGCTCTATTCCTCATCTGTCCTCCTCGGCCACTAAAATCGTCATTAAGGCAGGAGAGAGGAGGATAGTTAGCCATTACAAATTCGTCTTAAAGAGATCAAAAATATCTTCCGCTCTCCAAAATTTTTCTTCGTTTTCTCTCACTCTTTCTAAGCAACCAAACATCAGTGAGGAGTTTGAATTCTCCTCTATGTATCTCTCTCGCCTTGATTAAATTCTAGGGACATGTTTGGGTGAAAAGTCAGGACACAAAAGTATATCCAAGAAGAGATGTGAACGCAAATATGTGCTACTGAAAAGGGGAAATAGAGGAACCATACTATTATTTTTCTTATCATATGAACAATTACATTAAATTTTGTAGAACCTTAGTTACATTGTTTACAGAAAAAAAAATAAATTATATAGAAACTTAGTTACATTGTTTGCAGAAAAGATGATTGATAAATAAATAATGTTAGAAAATAAGAGGAGAGTAGACAATAGAAGTGGATTCTTTTAGAATTTCATCCACTTTCACACGTACTGCATTACATAAAAGTAGAGCCACTTTGAGCTAAAGACATGAAGTTAAAAAAAAAAAAAACATAAGATTAATTCAGTTATGTTGAATTGCTTCTAACATTCTTCTCCTTAGTTCAACAAGTTGCAGCCCTCATCATCAATCTATATTTGTTAAATTTATTCTCCATCAAGAACTTTTATGAGAATATCTATTTATTGTTCATCAATATTACAATACAACAACTCTACTTCTTTTTTAATAACTAATTATGTAAGGATAGATTGAGTCATTTATTTTATAAAAAGTCACAAAGTATAAGGATTTCATATGCCATTTATCTATGTCAATCTCTTACACAAGGTCTATTAATTTGTACGGATCGATGTAGATGAAGACCTCCAAAAAGTCTATAAAATATTAAACCGGATGTATAGGCTTGTTAGGTATTTTTCTTATAATTCTAGTTATCTATATTATAAATAGAGGCAACATCATTTGTATTTGTAGCTGCCACTTGATAAAATCCTAATAAGAAATCCTAGTGCATCCATATATTAGACACAATTGTTGAATCATATAAATCATTGTGTTGTGTGATTGTTTTTGTTTTTATATTCTATTTTCTTGCTTGATTCATTTTCTAACAATCAAAACCAAAGCTCTAGGTTTGATGGGTAAGGAGAAACGATGGTAGAAGAAGAAAAAGTTAGGATTGACAAGTTCAATGGCAAAGACTTTGGATTCTAAAAGATGCGGATTGAAGATGACTTATACCAAAAGAAACTACACGAATCACTATAAGGGAATAAGCTAAAGGAGATGAAAGATGTTAATTGGATTTTGTTAGATCACCGAGCTTTGGGTGTTATTCGATTGACATTGATGAGAAATGTTACTTTCAACATCGTGGAAGAAAAGACCACGAGTAGATTTGATGATGGTACTCGTTAAATATGTACGAGAAAGCATCTACCTCAAATAAGGTATTTTTGATGCATCGATTATTTAATCCGAAGATGGTAGGGGGTGCGTTTGTGACTAATGTCATCAATGATGTTAATGCGTTGATCAATCAATTGGAGTCGGTAAGCATTATGTTAGACAATGAAGTTAAGGTATTGATTTTTTTATCTTCTCTACCCGATAACCGGTCCGGAATGGTAACAATGATAAGTAATTCATTAAGGAATGAAAAAATGAAATTGGATGATGCTATAGATTTAATAATGATGAAGATCTTTGCATGAGTGAGTTAGGGGAACCTTCATGTTTTGCTTTGAGTATTGATAGCAAAGGAAGGGACTTTCAATAGCGTCAAAATCATGGCCATGACGAGTCAAAATCAAAGGGTAGAGGGAAATTCAAAAATTATAAAAAGATCATTTGTTAGAACTATGAAAAAAAGGGACAAAATTAGTGTGAGACTATAAAGAAGAAGAAGAAGAATCGAATGATGACTCTACATATGTAACGACTAATAAAATTATAGATGTATTAATTTGTAGTATGGACAATCCAATTGAATCCTAGATTCTACACTCGAGTGTGTTGTTTCATTCTACTATATGTAACGATTTTTACAAAAATATGTTATAAGAAATTTTGGAAAGGTTTATCTTATAGATGATGATTCTCTAGACATTGTAGAAAAATATAAGGTTAGGATCGAACTACCAACAAAATGCGATAGAAACCGTAAAATGTTAAACATATTCCGGATCCGAGGAAAAACATAATTTCTATGAGTCAACTTGATGGTATTGGATACATAATAGTATTTATGAGTGGATCATGAAAGATAATGAAGGGAAATATGGTTTTACCACGAGGTAGTAAGGTTGAAACTTTATATACAACTCGTTATGATAAGAGATACAACAACGAGTAGTTAATTTTGATGGTGACGATGATTCGATACGATGACACCAAAGGCTTGGGCACATAAGTGAAAATGGTTTAAAATAAATAGCATAAAAAAAATTATTAGAATTAAAACATATTGATGTTGGCTTATGTGAGCCATGCATCCGTAGAAAGCGTAAGATAATCTATTTCTTGAAGTCTAGTAGATCCTTAAAGGAAGAGAGGCTAGAATTGGTGCATACGGATATATGAGGATCGATCTTTGTGGCTTTTATCGGAGATTCATGCTATTGTGTCACTTTCATTGATGATTCCACTAAAAAGGTATTGTTTAAAGGCTAAAGTTAGAAATCGATCGATATGAATATCAAAGTCTTAAAGTTAGATAGTAGAGGAAAGTATGTTAGCACATAATTTAAAGATTAATATTCGAGATAATGAGATCAAAATAATTAAGATAGTTTCTATGACTCTAGATCAAAATGGTGTTATTGAAAGGATGAACGAATTTTGAATAAGCAAATAAAAAGCATGAGATTGCATTCGGTTTGCCTAAAATATTCTAAGCTAATGTAGTGAATACGACAACTTACCTCATAAATAAAGGACCTTTAGTTCCATTGGGTTTCAAATTATCCGAGGAAGTATGGTCAAGAAAGAAGATAAATTTCATGCACATAAGAACTTTTGGTTGTGTTGTTTATGTACATATAAGATCCGATAATAGAGATAAATTCTGTCTTAAGGCTAAAAAATGTTACTTCATTGGTTATTTTTTTGATGATTTTAGTAATCAAATTTGGGATGATCAAAATAGAAAGATCATAAGGTATATAGATGTGACTTTTAATGAGAATATATTGTATAAAGACAGATTTAGGATAGATTCTAACAATGTAGAGAACTGGTTAGAAATAAATGAGAAAGCTATATTAGAGGAGATATTAAAGAATGATATATATGGGATTGAGAATTATTATGATAGAGATGGAAAAGTTAAAGCTAAACCGAACCAAGTAACTCCTACTCTTCAGCTAAAAAGATCTAACGGAATGACTAGACTCACTTAAACGTATTCACCTTTTTTGAATTATTTACTTCTTATTGATGTTAGAGATCTAAAATTATTTAGTGAGGCAATATAGATGAAATATTATATCAAGTGGGAGTTAACCATGGAAGAAGAGATTAAGTCTCTTGAAAATGATCAAATATGAACTTTAATTATGTTACCAAAAAAAAAAAAAAAAGCTATACACAACAAGTGGGTGCACAAGGTCAAATAAGAGTATGATGATAGTAAAAGATACAAGATAAGGCTAACGATAGAAAAAAGAATTGATTATATCGAGATTTTCTCTTCTATAGTCAAAATGATTACTATTAGGTCGATACTTAGTATTATTGCTGTAGAAAATCTCCATTTAGAGTAGTTAGATATAAAAACTACTTTCTTACATAGTGACCTTGAGGAAGGCATCTACATGGTATAACTGAAAGGTTTTGAAGTTTCAAAAAGAAGAAACTAGTGTGTAAGCTATAAAAAGTCCGTATAGTTTGAGGCAAGCTTCTAGTCAATGGTACAAGAAGTTTGATGGGTTTATGTGTGATGATGGTTTCCAAAGATACAAGATAGATCACTCGTTATTATATAAAGAGATTTGATAATCGTTATCTTATTTTTGCCCTTGTATATTGATAATATGCTTATTACGAGATCTAACTTGAAAGATATCAATAAGCTCAAGCAAAAATTAACGGAATAGTTTGAGATGAAGGACTTAGGACCTTAAAAAAAAATACTTGGGATAAGAATCAGTAGAGATAGATCAAAAGGTACATTGACTTTATCTTAGGAAAAAAGTATATTAAAAAAGTACTGAACGATTCACCTTTAGGATGGAAAGATTAGAAGCGATCATTTAGAAAGTCATCTTACGCTTTTAAAGAAGAGTCACTAAAAATAGTCGAAGAGTAAAAAGAAATAACTATAATCCTTTATGCATCGATAGTAAAAAACCTAATGTATGGTATGATTGCACAAGACTCGATATAACTCATTAGTGAGAGTTATTAGTAGGCATATGGAAAATCTAAGAAAGAAGCATTGAAAGGAAGCAAAGTAGATTCTTCGATATCCGAAAGGTACTTCGGGTATAACCCTCTATTTTAAGAAGAACGATATTGTTTTATAATGATTTATTGATGCATATGTAGATAGCAATATAGACAATAGAAAGAGTACAATAGGCTATGTTTTCACTTTAGGTGGTATTGCTATGAGTTGGGTATCTCGACTTTAGAAATGTGTTTTTCTTTTCACCATTGAAGCTAGGTATATAGTTATCTCAAAACCTAGTAAAGAAATGATTTGGTTAAAGAAATTTTTGAAGAAAGTGGGTAAGATATAGGATGACGAGTGAGCTTTTTAATGATAGTCGAGTGCAATTCATCTTGCCAAAAATCCAATCTTTCATGTAAGAACCATATATGTTCAGTTGAAGTATCATTATATATGAGAGTTGTTGAATTATAGGGTAATATATTGGAATAAGATTTTAGAATAAAAGAATTTAACCGATTTATTGACCAATGCGGTTACCATTGATAAATTGAGGCTTTGTATTGCTTTAGTTAGCCTTCATATTTAGTGATGAGAAGGTTTTGCACTAGGAGGACTTGAAGTTGGTTGAGAAAAAAGGATAGTT